CCTTGTACCAAAGTATTTTTTCCCATACATCAAATAAATGAATAAATAAAAATTAAAAAAAAAGAAAGAGGAAAGACCTCTTTTTAAAAAAAAAAAAAAAAAAAAAAAAGAACAGCTAATCATAAAAATAAATATAATCTTTTTATAAATATTAAAATTTTTTCAAACCAAAAGTATAAGTATAAAATATTTAATTATAATTTTTTTTAATAATATTATATAGCAATATTGTTATAAAATAGTTGTAAATAGTAAATTTGAATACTTTAAACAATTTTAAACAATTAATTAAAATAAAATTACTCAAAATTTTATTAAAATAATCTATATTAATTTTTAAGTAAAATATATTTAATATCTAAAAAAATATATAATTATATATTTTTAAATAAATTTATTAATTATTAAAGTTTGGATATGCTTTAGAGATTTTTAAATACTTGGATACTTGAATATTAAACAGTATCAAAAAAGCCTTTAAGTAGTTAAAAGTATATATCACTGCTATACAATCAGTGTTGGCAAATAGAACAATAGAATAAAAGCTTAATTTTTTGTCTTTATATAAAAAAAATTTTTTTATCAATAATTTGCAATTATTTAAATATATATTGTTAGAGTATTAGTAAAGTAATAAATTTAAAATATTTTTATATTTAATTAGTAAAATTTAATACTCAAAATTTACAATAGAAAAATAAAAAAAATGAATAGAATTATAAGCCAATAGAAAAAATATATAAATGTGACAACTCTGTATACAATATATAGTATACAATAGCTACATAGTATAGTATATATATTTAAAATAAAAATTAGCTATATATAGTATTAATTATTAAATTAATATACTATACTGTATACTGTAATTTAAAAATAATTATTAGTTTATTATACAGTATTTATTTAAAAAATCATATATACAAAGTATATAATAGCAAATAGGCAATTAATACAATTAATATATGCTGTAATACCAAAATTTTATTTGCAACATAATATTTAGTATTAATCTTAGTAAGGTAATAGGAAAAGCAAATTACTATATATAGTAACTTTAGCTGTAACTATTGCGTGTAACAATAAATTTTTAAAGATCAGAAAATTAAAAAATAAAATGATCATAAATATATTGTTCTTTAGTTTTATTACTAACTATTAACTTGTATTTTGATCTAACGTTGTTAAATAATAAACTCTAAAACTATTTACTGAACAATAAAACTATGGAAGATATGGAAATAGACGGAACTGAAGCTCAACCTTATGTACTTATAGAAACCGGAAACTTGCCTATAACTGTTGGAAATAGGCCTATATACACAAATGGTCGCTATATTTCTAAGCCAGCACCGATTCCCTTAAAGTCGACCAAAACAGGCGTAGTATATGATAGAAGAATGAGATACCATGCTAATATTCACGAGGACGAGCATCACCCAGAAGACCCTAGCAGGATAAGTTCGATTCAAAACACGTTTAAGGCAGCTGGATGTCTTGAAAAGATGGTTCCCATAAGTGCCCGTGAAGTTACAAGGGACGAAGTCCGTCTTGTGCATACCGATGAGCATTGGGATTTTGTAGCAAAAACAGCGGGTAAGAAGGATTTGTATCATTAACAAATATAAATTGAATTTTGTAGGATAATTTTATGATATGTATGTATATGAATAAATCATAGCCAAATTCATGATTTCCTTATGTATCCTTTATTATAGGATTGTCCGAGGCTCAATTGGGTAAAGTTGCTGATGATTATAATTCGATTTATGTAAATAAAGAAACAGCATTAAGTGCGCGACTTTCTTGCGGTGGAGTAATTGAACTATGTAAAGCTGTGGCGAAGGGGGACGTGACCAATGGTTTTGCAAATGTAAGGCCACCAGGACATCACGCGGAAATAAATGAACCTATGGGATTTTGTTTTTTCAACAATGTTGCTGTTGCTGCCCAATGCTTAAAAAGAGATTTAAAGATAGAAAAAGTGTTTATTCTTGACTGGTATGATTAACTGGCTTTTCGATTGCTAATCTTATATTTGGTTATATTTATGATTAATTTTTACTGTATATTACATCTACTATATCTTGAATTTGATGAAGGGATATTCATCATGGTATATATGATTATGTTCTTTGGTAAATATTTTATAATAAGCTGTTTAATGATTTATATTTGTTATTCGTTTAGGTAATGGTACTCAAAAAGCCTTTTATAACGATCCTAATGTGGTATATTGCTCGATACATCGCTATGACAATGCGAATTTCTATCCTGGAGATCCACAAGCAGGTCATACATATGTCGGAGGCGGACAAGCCAAAGGGAAGTAAGTACTTTGTTTAAACGGTCTGTCGGATTTTCGATATGCAACACGATCCTGATTTGATATTTTCCTTGATTGCAATGATGAAACCAGGACAATAAATATACCATGGCCTCGCCCAGGAATGCGTGATAGCGATTACATATATGCATTTAATAAAGTTGTAATGCCAATTGCTTATGAATTCGATCCAGATATCGTGATAGTTTCTGCCGGATTTGATGCAGCAGAAGGTATTGAAATTATAGGTTTATCATTATACACTCAAATCATAACTTATAAATTATTTGAACAGGTGATCCAATTGGTGAAAATCACGTGACACCCGCCGCTTTT